AACAGCTATAGTAAAGTGTAATGTATTTGTTTCTATAAAGAGTGCCTTCAAAAAGTTGACATAATAGAAGATTGGTACAAAAAATAAATGATGTCTTTAAGGCTTCAAATTATATTTTAACTTCTTTATATATCAAGCATGTTAAAAGAGCCACAACTTAAAAAAAATTTTTGATGAAATTTTGATAATAGTTAAAAAATCTTAAAAAATATTGCACATCTTTGACTATTTATGATAGTTTGGACCTTCTTAAGATCCATCATAAGAGCATTGTTTGAAATGATGTATCTTAAGAAATAAAATTGAGTAATGTGAAATATACATTTTTTCATCTTAACATATAATCTTATATCTTTTAATTTTTGTAACAAATAAAAAATTTAAAGTTCATGCTCTTTTGTGTTCTTAAAGTAGAGTAAGATGTCATCTTAATAATAGAGGATAAAATCATCAAGAGACTCACAAAAACATCATTCATTAGATGTTGAAAAGTAATTAGTGCATTTGTGAGTCCAGAAGGCATGATATTATATTTGAAATGTCTATACTTTGTTCAAAATAAAGTTTTCCATTCATCTTATTCTTTTTCCATAAATAATATATGTGGCATATATAACAAAAGTTGGCCCTTCTTTTGTAACATGCATGAAAGCTTTTGTACATATCAATAATAATTTGGATATATCAATCTTATGGATTTCTACTTATTTAGCAGAATCTTGAGCTAAACTATAGAAAAAATCAAGATTGCAAGAAATTCAATCTATTTGATGATTATATCTTTTTACTTATAATATTCTTAAAATAATTAGATTAAATAGAAATTTAATCATATTAAATATTACTAAACTATTATAACCATTATTTTCTACTTTTATAATAATAATTTCATAGGTAATATCTCCAAAAGATAATGAATGACAATCTATTACTTCTACATGTACATATTTGATTTTCTTTAATAAGGATATATCTTATTTTTTGACAAAGTCTTTGTCTATGAAACAAGTTGAAGCTCTTAAATCCAATAAGGCTTAGATTTTGTAATTTTTTGGTCATAAACAAAATTTTATTATAAATTAAGATAAAAGATCTAAGGAGAAAATAAGACCTTTATTAGAAATTATGTAAGATTCTAGCTATGTAGTTTCTATTGTAGCTACAAAAATTAATTTTTTGACATATTGTCTTCTTTGGCAACTATACTCTTCATTTTATAGTTGCATTATTTCTTTGGACAATGTTGAATAGTATGCTTGGATTTTCCACAATGTAGATATAAATCTTTTTGATAACAATAAGCCTTTTCTTGCTTAGTAAGACGTTTAAAATGTATTATATCCATTTGCATTGGTTTTGGCTTTGATGAATAAGTTTTTAAAAACTTGGGAGCTATCATCATTATTTGACTTGTTCCTCTTTAGCCAAATTTTTACTCTTGACACCTTTCCAATAATGAGTTGACACATGCAATAACTTGAACAATAAAATATTTCAAAGATTTTACTTTTGGTATTGTCAATAACAAATCTTTGAAGTTGTTATTTAATTCATATCAAAATTGATCAATAAAGGCTTTGTTATTCTAGTATACATTGTAAACAAGGTTTTGAAATTCAATAGCATATATGGTGGCTAACTGTGATCCTTGCCATAAAGATAAGAACTTGGTCTTTGCTTTTCTTTGTTGATCACTTTTTTCAAATGTAGTTATAAATACTTCTAGGAATAAATTCAAACCATAAAAGAATTATGAATTCTTTTCCATCAAAGATAAAAACCAAGAGAAAGCACATCCAAATAAAAAGGCATCTATAAATCCAACTTGAGTAAATCCATCAAGATATTGGAAGGGATAAAACCTTACATAAAACTTGATTTGTTGTAGAAATCTTTGAAATTTTGATCTTGTTCTATCAAATTTCTTGAGCATACGAATCCTTGTCTCTATCATACTTATAAAAGTAAAATTAATTTGAATTTGGTTGTGAGATTGATCTACTTGTTTCTTTCAACTATACAACTTTTTGATACTGACTTCTTCTGTAGTTGTAGGATTAATATTTCCATAGATGGTGCTTATGATGTATGAAATTTTTTCCTTAAAAGTATTGATAAGTTCATAAAGTTTTGTATTATTTATAAATATATTCTCACTTCTAGTAAATGAAGCATCTATAATTTTTTTCTTCATTTCAAATAATTTAACAAATCTACAATTTAAATTTAAAGAGAACAATCTACAACCTCAAATAGCAAAAGATGAATAATCTACTCTCTTTAAGGATAAAAACAATGTTAGAAAATTAAAATTTTTATTTAAAGATGGATAATGTACAACCTTGAAAATATAAAAATAAAAGTAGAGTAATCCATTTACTTCTAAAATTAGATAAAAATAATGGATTAGGATTCTTGTCAAATTATCAAAGACATTAATCTTAAAAAAAGAAATCCTCAATATACTCTCATGTCATTCAAAAGGACTAAAAAATCACTCAAAGATGATATGGTACTAAACTAGAATGGCTATTGCTAAAGACAAGAAGATTAGAATAACTTAAAATAAGATTAAAGACTAAAAAGACATCGATAAGAGTGAAGAAGGCTTCATTCTTGCTTCCATATATACTCTTAACTAAGAGCTATGTGGCGATGTTGTATAGGACCTCCAAAACATGTTGATTTTGCAAGACATGTATCTTAACTTGTAAAGCAAGTTTTCTATATATGTGCTATATAATTAACTTATTCTACATCCTATTAATACACAATTAATTTATTGACCAAGTTTCTAATCTATCAATCAACTACAAATACATGTAAAATCAAAGTAGCATCTATGAAACTTCTAATAAGTTTTTTTAAAAAAAATTATGAAATAAATCTACTTTTATCTACTTCTATTTAATTATATTGATAAATATTAGAATAAATATGAATGTTTGTGATAGGAAGAGAATCAAAATGGAAAAATCAAGATTAATTTATGTGCATTTATTAGAAGAGGTTGTTGACATTTTTACCAAACCTTTGGGGCAAGGACTATTCAAAAAATCTAGAACTAAACTAAATATTATGTTCATTGAAAATGCCTAGTTAAATTGAAATTTACCTTGTCCTACCTTCTTCTTTCATATCAGTAAGCCTCTATCAACAATTTTTATTGCATAGTTGCATTTGAATTAATCTTTTTTTGTCTACTCCTTATAATGAGGGATTTTCAAGCTTCCTTTAATCATTTATTTCAATCTTGCAACAACAATCTCAAAGCCTATAAAGCATGAAAAAGATTATTACCAAAACTAGGATTATGTAACAAGATGATTGTGAAGAATGTTTGTCAAAATTTCCAAGTTTTCAAAATTTAAAGCTCTTCAATCAACTTTTGAATGATAGACTTTTTTGATACAAAACTCATCACGAATTCTTAAATCTCCATCTTAACATTAAACTTATGATAAATCTTTCCAGTCACTTAAACCAAATCAACAGCCATGGATGCATGAACAAATGTAAATTAGACAATCTCATAATTCAATTGTTCCTACAAAGGAAGATCTTCTAATAGCTACATTTCCATCAACCAATAACCACAACCTCTAAAATGAACAAGCTTTGCCACAACTAAATTCATGGTGCTCATGGTTTTGCATAAGAATAATTGAAGAAAGCAATTTGCTCCTTATAACATCCAATCTCAGATTTGCAACATCATCGTTGGAAGACATAAAGGGAACATCAAAATTTAGAAACTTGGCAATACAACTCCCAAGAACTAGAATCGGAACCCTCATTGATTCCATTGCCAAAGACAACATCTCCTTGCTTCACTTCAAACAAATCCTCTCCACATGGCACAATGAATTGATCTAAGATTACCAAATCAAAACAAATAGAATTAGCCAACAAATTATATCATATGAGATATAATTTGAGCATTGGAAAATTGATCTAAGATTATCAAAAACAAAACAAATAGAATTAGCCAAAAAATTATATCATGTGAAATATAATTTGAGCGCTGGAAGAAAACTCTTGTAATCACAAATGGGAGCAATCCTATGATGAACTCTATCACCTCCATCAAACCAAAACCCTTGTGTGCGTTTTTTTTCTCTTTGCTGTCACTCTTTAGGAAACACAAACGTGTTGGTACAAAATTAGGGCTTATAATAGATTCCATCGTCACAACCCAGCAGATGACTTCGTATCAAGAAGGATGTTAGAACATTCATCCTACTCGCCATCTGCTTAGACAAATATCATAGACTAAACTGAGCTCCGGAAATCATGGCGGATCACTCGGTGCTTGGCTTGATAGGATTTGTATACCTCCAAGTGCTACAGTCGCGAGTGTGCAAGTGTGCACCATTTTTTATTCTCATTGTTGTTTATATTATTATCTTTGTTATTTCCTCAGAAATCCTTAGCTGGGCCGTTCGGCTAATACCGGCTGTGGTGTGAGTTCCTTTCAGTTTATTGTGCAGTTCAACGTCCATCGAGGATCATGATTTTAAGTAAAGTTTTCGTGGGTTAAAGGTTTGGGGTATCGCGTAAAATACCTTGGTATCGGCCTATCTTCATTTTCCTTACACTCCGTCAGATTGCTCCGTGGTGCTCCTCTCTAAGCTTCCTAGTGAAAACTACCGCAGATTGGACACAGCAAAGTTTCTCAATAAACAAGTCACGGGAGGGCTCGTGCTGGGAGGACGGATAACGGCAAGTAGGTCAATCGATCTGAGGGGGCTAGAGCACAATGTGCACATCCTCTAACTACCCCGTAGTAGTCTAGTAAACATGAAAAAGTATCGGCACAAGTGTGAGATTTCAATGTACTAAACTTCCTCACGTGGTAAACTCATGCTCGCTCAAAGTTGATTTACAAAGTTCTTTTGCAGTACTAATGTGGTCTAAGAAAGACCAAAAGTGATGATTAACTATCTACGTGCCAAGAAAAATCAAGCAAAATCATTAATCCATGCCTGCAAAACATCTATCAACCAAGTACTCATGTTCTTCCCAGAAAAGAAATATAGCTTTTCACGCGGAGATAGTCCAGCACAAGGTACATGTAGAACATAAAGATTAAAATAAATTAAGCGCTACGTTTAGGCCTCAAAGGATTTCACTAGATTAGAAAGGGTCCTCATTGAAATGTGATCTAAGCTCCCATTGGAAGTATTCCTCGGTGAAGAGATGCAACACTTTTGGGCTTGCTAAGAATTTCTTAAGACACTTGTTTTTGATTTTCAGACCCGAAGTAATTTCCCAGCAATCTTTGATCCAGTACCATGTTCGGCAGCTGCAACACAGGCAAGCACTAAGTCAGGAACTTAAGCTTCCAAAAGTTCTTGTCAGTGTGAAACCATCACTTCAATTGAAAATCAGTCAAAATCGTTTGTTCAGCATGAACGCTTTGTCAGAATCGATTTCGTAGATAGAGCGTTTATGATAACCTTCGCTGAAGTTGGAAAATGACCTCTTACCTTTTCCCCAAAAAACATCTTGGTGTTATTAGCAACAGCCTCAATAAATTTCAACTCGAGGAATTCAGGAGTCAACTTCAGTTCATTGGCCTTAGCTTCCTTCATAACTCTGCAGCACATTCCAGAGGGAAGACCTTAGTTTAAATATACAGAGAACCCTATCAATTTCGAGTTCTAGAGAACGATCCGTAATATGATATTTCCATATCAGATCATCTCACGTTACACAAAATATATGGAGAGGATACGTGGAGCTTAAAAATTCTGGAAGTTCCGCGCAGTCTTCTAACTACGACAAGCTTAGATTTTAAAAACATACACCATGTACACATTGAAAAGCAACAGCAAGGCCGATAGGACATACCTATAGAAATTTGCATCAGCCAAACTCTTCTCTTTTGCAAGGAAGATTTCATTCTCTATTTCTTGCTGCGTTTTGATGCTCTCCTTCTCCCTCAAACGTTGTGTCATCTGGATCTCACTAACTTTGGCATTCTTCTCAGCATCGGTAACTGCTCTTTTCTTTATTGTTTCAGCCTCTTTCTCTGCTAACTTCTGCTTCTCTACAGCGATCAGCACCTGCATATTTCAATCAAACCCCCTGACAATGTTACAAAGTCTAACGAAACTGGATATAGTAACCCATATCAAACCCAACACAAATAAGAAAGATTAAAACTTGAGAACACCAACGGTTCATGGGCCATTCCAGGCACTAACTCTAGACATGCTCATGTACAGCACAACGCACTCTTGCACAGGATCTAATTAACTTCAGACAATAAGTAACGTGCTTAAATTTTACATTACAGTGTAAATAGAGAAGGTTACCTTGGTGCGCTCCTCTTCCATGATTTCATAATTGCGTGCAATGGACAGTGGAATTGTAGGTTTTGTTACACGCACTCCAATAATTTCAATACCTGGAGCATATAGTGTACAATCTCGCTGAATTGCCTCTTTCATCATCTCATCAATCTGCAAGACGAAAATCAAATAATAAAAAGCTTAATAAATGTAGAGTGAAAATATTAAGGACAGCCTTGGACCTTCAGAAATAACAAGAAAATTCTGCCATTGAAGTCCCAGCACGCAACTGTAGAAACCGCCTAATGGAAGAATAACCAATTTGCATTATCAGAACTTGTAATTTGAGATCTTTTTTCTTATTCTGGATAGGAAGATCCAAAACACGTTGACGCACCTGATCAAACTTGTCAATGTAAACTTCTTGCAAAGTATGACAACTGCAAAATTGGTTAATTTCATGATGAATCTTGTCGTAAATCCATGTTTTGTCATATTGAACGCCAAAGTTCAAGATAGTTTCATATACATTATTCTTCTTTAATCTGTTAACAACCTGTGAAATATAGAAAAAATAAAATTAAAAATACAACTGGGGTGTTATTCATATAAATAGTAACCTAGTAGAAATAAAAACAGATACAATGAAACTTTGCACACCCGCAATGCAAAATTACGCATTAAGTACTAAATAATTGCGGAATACTAAAGAATGCTCGTAGGTGAGTGCAAGTATGTCAGACCTTCTCAGAGATGCATTGCACCACCAATCCGAACCAAGCTACTAACTAACATAATAACAAGTCTACTAGAACAATTCCCAAGCTGATCAATCTTTCTCACAAGAAATAACTACTGCCTCCATCACTGGATGAAGCACATGTAAAAAAAACCTAATCTGCTGACAGTATCATCACTCATACAGATACACCAAAAGAAAGTAACAATAAGCACCAAATGGAGCAAGTAGAAGTATCTAGTAGCGCAATTCAAGCTAGCAAAACATTAAGAGAAAATAACAATGCAACTAAATACTGGAGAAAATGCTTGATATCTACCTCAATCTTTGCGAATTCGAGCATAACTCCTCCCTTTGTACCACAAGGTATGTTCATAACCTGAAAACCAACATTATTAGTGCAACGAAATACTGACAGCCTCTTGGGCCAATAAAATGCCCTCTCCTAGTTGACACTCGTGAAATAAGACCGTTACCCGCTGCCATTGAACATTTCTGTTTTGATCAATTATTAATGAGGTGCTCGACTGCCACATAAAAGTAAGGGCTTTTATACCTTGTCCTATGGGATGTGGTACACAGACACAGGAGAAGAAGTTACAATATTTAGAGAAATAATGGAATGCAATTGATTGGAAGTTCAAAGTTATCCTATACGGCTCTAAGAAACCAGAAGACAAGGAAATAAAATTTTGATACGGATGGTAAGACTACATCGAATCCCAAATGGAAACAAACCTTGCAAAATACTTTTCTCCCACAGGCAATTTTCTTTTTATGTGATGTTGAGATTACAACGCAAACATTTCCTAGAAAAAGGCGTCATACTTGAACAATTTTAAATCTATTTTCATATTGCCCTATGCCCTGTCCTCCAAAATAGCCACAATTTGTGCTGAAAATTTTGGATTGTCCTTTGTCTGTGAGACAAAATGTAGGGCAGCCCTAAGTACTTTCAAGACTGATTTCGAGATCTCTAATAGACGACTCTACATGTGGCACTCGCAACCATAGCAAACACACGGAAAGAAATAAAATAGACCTACCTGATCTGTCTGAATGGTCACTTGAATAGGCTCAACACGAGTAAGAAAGGGGATCATGAGATGAAATCCTGTAATACTAGAAAAATTGAGGTTCATTAAGATGCTACTAATAAGGAATCACTCGTACCCAAAGTCTACATTACTACTAGTAATGAAAGAAGGACCTTGAACAAATTAACGTAGTCCAAGAGTAAACATTTTGCGGTGCATAAGTGCTATATGAAGGAATGAAGAAAGCGTGCGCAGAAAATCACAATGAGGAAAAATACTTTGGCATTTGAGAGAACGGTGTGAAATAAAGCGAGTTAGAACAGACCAGGCTCTGAAATTGTGTTCAGAAGGGCACCACCACGCCAGTATACTCCGACATGACCTTCAGGAATCTGATGCAGCAGGACCAAATTTGTGCCTGCAACCGCCAAAGGAACCAAAATCTGTAAATCAACGCAGCTTGATTAGAAATCAAACTAACTTCGATTATTCTAACGCAATGTCATGATCGTTAGTCAAAATTAAGTTCAGTCACGCAGGAAAAGGTTTTAAATAAAATCAATGAGATGTAGGTTTAAGTAAACGGAGTACCGCTAATCCAATGGCACATATGGCAAACAAGATCGGTGGAGATGGACTATCGCTGGGTCTTGTTGGAGCCCGGGGCGCTCCCTCAGAGAACCGTCTACTTCCATCCATTCTGTTTGAGACATCAAAAACTGTCAAATAATCATAGGTTTCAATTCAAGCACCTGTGGAGTACGCGATCTAACAGTAAAGATGCGGGGTATTTTCAGCCACATATAACATCACTGCAGACTCTTGTAGTCAACAGAAAAGCAAACATATCATAATTCTTCAAATTCATTCAAATGAGTTTCATAATCTAGAGCACACTAATATATACACCAGTTGTGACGATAAAACTGTGGTGGTCACAAGCACCTGTTCATCTGACTGCAGTCGCAAAATATCCACTCGCATCCAGAATTTCAACCTAAACAGCAGAATTTCATGATTCAAAACACTAGAAACACATCTCTTAGCATATCAAAAACTAGTACACAATCAGATACAATTAAACATAAAAGCCAGCACTACAAACAAACCGCAGAACCAAGAAGATAAAACCTAAAATTCACACATTATCCTAGCACGATTAAACCAACCGACAATTAAAAATGACAATAATGCCCATAAGAGAACCTTTGCAGCTCATGCTGTAATCCAATAACTACCTAAAGCAAACCTCTAAAACCTACGTTTTCTAGGTTTTTCAAAACCTATCTTAGCATATTTTAACTACAAGTTATCGCGCGATTTATTGCGTGGATTAATTACAGCTTGAAAAACGACCGAAATAAGAGTCCAGAATAGCGTAATTCGAGCGTTTCAACCGGTCGAACCCAACGCAGACACAGACATCGTCACTGCAGTTCAAATTTTCAGCTAAAAAAGCTAAGAAAAAATTGTGAAAACAAGCTGTTGCAGTAAGAAGAGTAGGAAATTTTACATACGTGAAGCAAAGAAGAATTCGAAGGTGCGGCAAAGCGAGAGGCGGGATTGAGAGCTCTACTATCCGAGAGGCAGGCCGAGTATCGGCAACTTCACTTCAAGAGGGAATTCTTGCAACCAAGACACATAAATGGATGAATGATTCCAACCATCGATTCGTCATTCATCCTGGAGTTCGGCTGTCGAGTCCTATTTTCACCGCATGGTGACGTAGATAGTCAATGACCAGCGTGAGGCGATGCTTGTCCCGGCAAATTTCTAAACTGTCATCAAATCAAATAGAGCAAATGAAGCGAGGATCAATGGTTGAGTAAAACACATAGAAATCAGCAGTACTTTGCTAGAGATCATGACTTTTGAGGAAAGTAATAAACTTCATGTTCCAAACTTGATTAATCCACAAAGACTTGTGCTTAAACAACAGATTTTTTTATTATTGTAAAGAAGAGGATAACAACGAGGTAATTCTATATAGATTTATCTAAATAAATAGATTTAGCTATATAAAAAAGTTGTTTTGATGCCAAAAGTAACTATCTCTTTGTCATCAATAGCTACTATAGAAAATATTGTGCATATATTATTATCAAGGATAAGAATTCAATAAAGATACGTAAATAAGTGACATAAGTATCTAAAAGAGATGACAAAATGATAATATAAAAGTATGTATATTCAAGAAGAAACTGGAAAGGCTATTATCAAAGACTAGAAATCAAGAGTCTCTTAAAACTAAACTAGAAATAAGAAAGGAGTTGATAAGACTGACAAAGGTTTCTTTCTTACCTCCATATATACTATCTAACTAAGTATTATGTAGCAATGTTCTATAGAACCTCCAACACCTTTTCAATTTGCAAAACATGTGTCTTAACTTGCAAAAAAAAAATTCTATACAAGTATTACATGATGAACTTGTATCATAAACTACCAACACGTTATTAGAGTAGAAAGAATTTGCTTTAAGAAAGCTCTAGACTTCTGGCTATAATTAATTGCTCAACCAAGTCTCAAGATAAAAAATACCAAGTTTATATATAAAATTGTTCCTATAGGAGTAATTACATCAATACATAAGCCTTCACTACCAAAGATCACTAAAAATGTGATAAATATATTATAAAATCTTATATATTCTTAAAATATTTTTTTTTCAAATTTCAACAACTCATATCTTAGGATTGGACTATTCAAACAAAGCAAAATTTTACATATAGTATTGATATACTTTTAAAAAAAACCACAACAAATTTCAACTACAAATTCATTACAAATCTTGAGATAATGCCAAAATCCTAACAATAGCTTCAAATCCTTGCTTACATACATCCATGTTTAATTTTCTTTATATCTCAAAAACTAAATATTCAAATACCATAAAATTTTGATATATAGCTTTTCAACCTAATAATACATACTTTAAGAAATTTTGAGCTAAAAATTCATTTGAAAACTTAAGATATGGCTCCAACCATTACTATCAACAAAATGACTTACTTACTTTCTTTGAATTACATATGTTGTCTTCAACACTCTATAATTCCTTCATACAAATGCCAAATATAAAACAAATTTCATAAAAGATGTAGCTCTTAAAATCATCCTTGCAATTGCACCTCCTAATCTCTAAAATCTATTGTAAAATTCCTTATAACTTCAAAAGAGAAAAAATATGTCTTAAATAAATATCTTAACTTCAAACGGCTATTATTTCATCATCATAACTCCAAATCTTCTAAAATTTATATACAAATTTTAATTCAAATCCTAAACCTTATAAATCTTGCTTTGGATTTTCAAATTCTCTTTCTAAAGTCACTGAATCCTTATTATGGTCACAGATAACTTATTGAATGTCTATTAGGCATGGCCTTCAATCAATAGGGATGAAGATCTTTATCCTTTTGCCTTCATCTATCTATACCTTACTTTCATCTCTCCAAATAAGTTTCTTGGATGTTTGGATCTTCATCTTTGAGCTCCAATCTTCTCTTTAAATTTTATAATAAATATTTAAATCCTATATAATTTAGATATTATAATTAATATAGATAAATATCAAAATAAATTTTCTTACATTAATTCTTTTTAAATTAATATATTAATTATTTTAATGCACATCAATAATTATAAATATATTATTTAATTTAGTTAATTTTTACATACTACAAATAATTATAATACAACATTCACTCCTTCTAAACCTACACATCCTTTGATATGTGCAACATGCTTCTCCTCCTCTTCCTCTTCCTCTTGAGATTTCTTTGAATCATTCATAAGTTCTTCTACTTCATATTTTTGGTTCAAATCTTGGGATAAGAATTCTTCAAGGTTATACTTTTTAAAATGGTGCATTTTTTTTATTAAAAGCCTTTACCTTCTTCTTTGCTATTGGAATTCTAATGATAGCTCCATTTAACTCACATAAAGTATAAAAGAATATAGATAAGATATTTGTTTTATTGACACATAAGAATAGATAATTAGAATCATATTTGATAAGTTATAGAAGTTTCTAGAATTGAGGTTAGGTTAGTGGCCTATGTAAGATCTACTATAAAACATTCTAGAAAGGGCTTAGGACAGTTATCTAAGTGAGGTCCATCATTAGGAACATTCTAAAAACTTTCAAGATGGTTGAATAAAGTATAAATAGGACTAGCTAAGATCTTTTGGGTATCTAATCAGTTACGGCTTTGAATCTTTTCTCTTATTAAAGTTTGGTTTTACATCTTCTTATTTAGTTCTATTTTATTCTATTTTTGTATGTTCAATTTTGTCTTTTGTATCCTATTCTGTTTAGTTTTGTTCAATTTTGGTTTTGGTCCATTTTGTCCTACTTTGTGATTAGGTTTTATATTGTTGCGGATTAAAAGGATCTTAGACTCTCAAGATAGATTGATCATATTTCACTGGTATCAGAATAAGTGTTAGTCTATTCTTTGGTAGTATGTCATTTTGTTCAAGGTCAATTGCTGTGGTCACATTATATATTGTATTGACGCTATCATGAGCTTCTCTTAAAAAGTAAGCTAATAGGTGACAAGGCATTACAATAGTAGAATCCATCGAGGAAATTATAACATGGGAGACATTGCAGAGAAATCCCTTATAGAGACTCAAATATAATATTTTGTAGGCTCAATAGCTACTTTGTAAGGACAAATAGAAGCTTCTAGGATAAAAGAGTCGACGTCTACTAAATTAAAATTGAATAAGCCTAGTACATATTCTAGAACTTCAAGGCAAGAAGATGTATGTCAATGGCTCTTTAACATGCGACAATACTTGCAAGTATCTAGAGCAAAGATCACTAAAAGAATTATATATGCAGCCAACTGTTTGAGAGATGCAACAGCTATTTGGTGACAACATTGAATTCAAAGCTATGGAGCTCAAGGTGGATTGTATGATTGAGAGAAGTTTGAGACTAAGTTTAGGAATTAATTTTGGTTCATTAATGTGGAGAAGATAGTATGTAATCAATTAACAAATCTTACACAATCTAGGTTGGTACAAGATTATGTCTTTTGATTTAAGTTTTTATATCTCTAAATTAACAATATTTTAGAGGTAGAGATAATAGATCGATTTCTATAAGGTTTGAAACGTGGAATCCAACAAGAGATGGAACTAAAAAATCCAAAAATATTTGAAGAGGTAATTAAGATTATAGGGATGATCAATGCTATAGATTTCAAAAATTATGGAGCACAACCTATAAATCAAAGTCTTATGATGCTATCTAATACTATGGTATAACAACCAATGCCAATGAAGATTAATACCCTAAAAAGATGATTGATACTACAAAGACAATAAATATTGGTATATAAGGGATTATGTTTCTATTGTCGAAAATCAGGCCATTAGATTAAAAATTATCCAAAATTTTAAAATTCAAGCACCAACAAAACAAGGCTGATTCTCAATCTCGAGATTCATGAAGTCAATAATGAGATAGAATATAGAAATGAGGCTCTCTAATAAAGGCACCAAAAGCTAGTACTAGAGATAGCTATTGTTTGTCAAAGACAAATGTCATGGCCTTGGACAACTATAAAAAGAGTTAATTAGTGCATCTAATAAGACTACTAAGAAGAAAACCATCTCAAGTCTTATAGATTGTAGTTCTACAAAAAATTGTATCTCGATTAAAATTGCTGATCGATTTAGCATTAAAACTAAGGTAAGCAAAGGAGAAAGTATATACCTTACAAATAACTAAGAAAATTTATTGCATAAGAGAAATGAAGAAGAAACCTTGAGATTGACCGATATCTATGTTTTAAGAGAAAGATTTAAGATAACAAAGCTAAGATATTATGTTATTCTAGGTATGCCATGGTTAGAGGTAGAAAATAAGAATGTTGATTAGATAGGAAGAAAAATCTTCTTCAAAGATGATGGACGCAAGGTGAATCTTTGTACGTCTACATTGAGTGTAGAAAAAAAAATTACAAGTAAAAACTTACTTGTAGGGATGATCTTTATAAAGAAGTAAATACAACATAAGCAACCATTATATATGGTGGTTTCAAATCTTGTATCAATGGTGGAAAAGACAACCAAAAGAGTAGAACGGTGTCATGTTGTAATACGACTATATGGTGAAAGATGATAATATGGATCTTGTTATAGAAGAACCAAGTTAAAAGAAAGAGTAGAAAAATATGAATAAAAGATAGGAATGTAATAAAACTTTTAATAGTAATACTATTCTTTTTTATAAAAAATAGCTTCTACTTACTTTGTAGGGCCAAAAATAAGACAAAATAAGGTAGATTGGAAAAATAAATGAAATAGACATCTTTAGGAGAAAGTTAAGAATAAATTATAGTAAAAATTACTTAGAAAAACTAGATGTTGATACTTGGAGAGGGCCGGTTATGAACCAGAATCGAAATCAGACCCTGAGGCACAAAACCAAGTCTCGATGATGACTCCAAGACTCTTTGGAAGATCAGAGAGTGGGATTTGATAGAAGATTCGGGAGGGTTTCTATGAGCATTGGTTTTGGGTGATTTGGATCTGTATTGACTTTGTAAGAATTTAGGATTTAGGATTTTATTTGGATTTATTTAGGATTTAAG